ATATTCTTATTATTATTATTATTATTATTATTATTATTATTGTTATTATTATTATTATTATTATTATTATTATTATTTTCTACGGTATTTTTTTCTCACAAAAAACACACGTAAAATGAGAATGTTTTTGAATCATGATTCTGAATTTATAAACCAAACGTCCACTTAGACTGAAAAAATCACAAAATCACAGTTTGATTCAATTTTTGTGTTGCCCGTCCTCCATGGTTGAGTGACTATTTCCAAAACTAAAATACCAATTATCTCGGTTCGGCAGCAATCTCTCGCTATTACAACCCAGCCCAAACTGAGAACACCTAAACGATGAATTATTTTCCCCTTTATTTTCTGACCTATTCACTCGATCATTGTCGTTGATTTAATCCGGCAAAATAAAACATAAAAACGTTAAATATCTTTGTATTATCGTCCTCTTAGTTACCATGTGAACTCTCAAGTATGACATGAGATGAAGAGGAAGAAGAATGGAGAGGGTTGGAAAGATGGAGAATGTGAAGGATGAAGAGAATATTTATAATAATCTGTTATGATGTTTGGTAGGAAGGAGAAGAGTTGAAATGATAGATAATAATTATTTGTTTAATTATTATATTGTCTATTTTACTATTTGTTAATAATTTCTTTTGAGGGGTAAAAGTTTCATTTTAGTTTAATTTTTAGTGAATTGATTGCATCCTTCACTTCATAGAAGGATCCAAAATGGTGAGCCTGAATGGAAAAAGTCTCCCTCCGTATCTCCTCTCCCTCCTCTCTTTCCTCCGATCAAACAAGGAAATTACCCTCTCCCTCCACCACTCTCCCTCCATCTACATCTCCCTTCTTCCAACCAAACATAAAGTGTATATGAACACTTTTACATTATAGGTTAACGATATGCAATGTCACTCCTTTTAAGGAAAAAGAATTGCCATATGAGGGGTAAAATTCCTTTTGGTCTAAGCATGTGTAGATATAATAAAGTTTATTCCAAAAAAAAAAAAGAAGAAATTAGAAGTATTGTTAGTAATTTGCTTTTTAATTAATAGCTCTAATTAAGAAATATTCATAATTGAATCATTTAACAAAGAGATCACGGCTACGGCCTACTACCCTCAAATCTAACTCTATCATGCTCCACTCTTATCAAATTTGTTCTACATTCCGATATCAAGTTCAAAATAATATTGGTTTCCTTTTAAAAAAAATACAAAATATGTATTGGTTAATTAGCAATAAGGTGGTGCTAATTAATGGTTAAGAAACAACAATAGGGTTGTTAAGGGAAAAAAAAGGGGTAATAGTCGCATGATAGAGCTTATTCCCCCGACTCTGGACCTGAAATATCGGTCACAAGCACAACGCAGGATAGCAACAGAGCACACACAATTGATGAATTGCTGACATTCTGCGGTTATTTCTTGAAGTACGTGAGAACCAGTTTTCGTATGATCATTAATGCGACTTCTCTACCAAGCAATCTCTCTCAAAGTTAGAAAAAGATTTCGATACATTCATTAAAAAAATAAAAAAAAAATAAAAAAAAAACTCTCTAAAGTAAATAATATGTATATTTATGAACGTTAAAATCAGTTAAAATTACTTAATTTTTCATACGAAACGATACGCATATGTATATATTATACTCTAAGTATATTAGCGGAGTGTCATCGTTATCTCTTTTTAGTCTTAGAAGACGTTTGGTTCATAGATTAGAATCATGTTATTATAATTATTTTTTATTTACGTGTATTTTTTGTGAAAAAAAACACTGTAACGAATCATAAATTATAATTCAAATCATAGTTTAAATCCTCCAATCAAACGTCTCCTTAATTTACTGAATCTTTAAGTTTTCCGCCTAAGTCCTATCATTGACATATTTACACGTCAGTACTTTACCAGCGGGGCCAGTTTGGCCTTCTAATATTAACGGAAGATATCTCAAATCCAAAACTCGTATATAATGCACAGAGCAGAAT